AAGCTTCGAAATCTTATTCTTGGCAGTATTCTATTTAAAAATTATTTTCATGGATTTTGAAATTAGAAACAAAAAATGGTTTAATCCCTTCCCCCTGTTGCTAAACAGTCGCCCCTTCACCCACCCACCCAAATAACAAACACCTGGAGGAGTTTTTAGTATTGGGGGGGTCTTTAGTATTAGGGTACGAAATTTCCCCCTAATATTGATGAAAAACACACATATATATATATATACACATATTTCTATTTCAAAATCGATCGAATTTCTTTCTTTTTAAATCCAATTAAAATATGGCAAACAAGTGGATTCCAAAGCTTAATATCAAATAAAAACCCCCAACATAAAAAAATTATGTATGTTTTTCTATTTCGAAATCGATTAAATTTCCATTTAAAAATTAAATAAAATATGGCCAAAAAATTGGATGTCGAAGCTTTTCCCTTATATTAAACCCTAATATCATTTTGTTTTTTTTCCTGTTTCAAAATCAATTAGATTTCCTTTTGAAATCTAATGAAAAAAAACAAAAAAATGATTTTGAAGCTTTCCCCTAATATTAAATTAAAATCCAATTATTAAAATATGTTCAAAAATTGGATTTCGATGCTTTCCCTAATCTTGCATGAAAAATTCCAATATAAAAAAGTAAATTTGTTCTATTTCAGAATCGATTAGATTTCCTTGTAAATTCAAATTAAGATATTGCCAGAAATTCGATTTCGAAGCTTTCCCCTCATATTAAATCCTTATATCAAAGATTATTTTTTCTATATCAAATTTCATTAGATTTCCTTTTGAAATCTAATTAAAATATGGTTAAAAATTGGATTTTGAAATTTTCCCCTAATATTACATTAAAAAACCCTAATATTAAATATTATTTTTTCTTTTTTGAAATCGATTCGATTTGTTTTTAAATTATAGTAATAAAAATAAAAACAAAAACCGGATTTCGAAATGTTTCCTTTAATATCAAATTACCAGCCCTAATATATTTAAAAAAAAAAATATTTCAAAATCGATTAGTTTTCTGTTTAACATATAATTAAGATATTGCTAAAAATTGGATTTGGAAATTTTCCCCTAAAATTAAATTAAAAACACTAATAAAAAAAATATGTTTTTTCGATTTCAAGAATCGATTAGATTTCCTTTTGACATCCAGCAAAAATATTGCCAGGAAATACCAAAAAGTGGATTTCGAAATTTTCCCCCAATATTATATAAACGTTGTAATATAAAATACTTATTTTTTCGACCTTAAAAGACCCTAGTTTAAAAAATCACCGGGGCTGACTAGTTTTTATTTTTTGGTGGTGAAATCCTGAAATGGGACCTTTATATTTAATTTGTTGTTAAAAAGGTATCAATTAAAAGTTAAATTGGCCAGCCTGAAATTTCCCAAAATTTAATGCGGACCCTAGTAAAAGGAATCGATGTAATATTTTAGTATTTAGGGTATGTTTAGTAAAAGGAGGTGGGGATTAGTAAGGTTTTCAATTTAATATAAGGGGAAGCTTCGAAATCCAATTTGGCAAGATTTGAGTTAGATTTTGAATAGGAATTCAATCGGTTTTGAAATATAAAGTTCATTTTTTAAAACAAATGTTTTCAATTTAATGTCAGGGGGAAGCTTCGGAATCCAATTTTGGCAATATTTTAGTTAGATGTTATTTTAAAAATGTTTTCCAATTTAGTTTTTTTTTAACCAAGGGGGAAGTTTCGCACCCTCATACTAAATACCCACTAAATACAAAAAACTATTCCGTGTGTTCATTATTGGGTGGGGAGGGGCAGACGGTTTATTATGACGCAGGGATTGGTCAGGCATCACTTGCTGGAATTATTGGATTCTTTTGGGATGATTGGTATGATGTTTAGTCAGGCATGGTTCCCTTCAGTCATGCACGATTTTTGCAAAAATCCTATTTAGGCACGACCCCAAAATCCCAGCCCGGCAAATTCCGGCCCGGGCCCTGCAAATTCCGGCCCGCGCCCTGCAAATTCCGGCCCTGCGTTTTTCCAAAATCAGGCAAAACCAGTAAATCAGGTATTAAGTCAGGTGTAGTTACCTTTTAAGTCATTAAGGCTACTCAGGCATGGTTCCAGTGGGTACCTTTTAATTGTGAAGGCTAGTCAGGCATGGTTCCCTGAATTCAGGGGCATGGGTACCTTTTAATTATGAAGGCTAGTCAGGCATGGGTTCTGTTGAGTCAGGCGTGGGTGGGTACCTCTTAATTATGAAGGCTAGTCAGGCATGGTTCCTTTAAGTCGGGTGTGGTTACGCTTTAAGTCATGAAGGCTAGTCAGGCATGGGACCTTTTAAGTGATGAAATCTGAATCAGGCGGAGCTCCTATTCTAAATGTGTTAAATCCAATTGTTCAGTGTGGAAAATCGATTTTTTTGGCTGGTCTACGGGCAAACCCTGTGTCTTCCAATACCATAGCGTGCTGATGTCGCTTGCCTGCATAATAGTTAAGGCCAAAGCTTAGGTCATCAGTGTGATCCTGAAATGGCGCCACGACCAAGATGACATGTGTAAAATGGGCCCTGGATTAACAAAGGCTGACTAATGAATTTGGAGGATGCCACTAAAGTATGACATGTAATCACTTTTGAGGAGCACTCTATGGCACGCAGCGCGCGCAGCCTGCTTTACGGTTTAGCGTTTGAAAGTTTTAGGCTTTGCCTCTATGGCACGCAGCGTTTGAAAGTTTAACCGTTTACCTCTATGGCAGGCTGTGCGCGCAGTTCGCGTTACGGTTTAAAGTTTGAAAGTTTTAGGGTTTATGTGTGTGGCACGCAGTGCGCGCAGCGCGCATTAGGGTTTAGGGTTTGGAAGTTTTATAGTTTATTTTATTGCATGCAGCGTGCACAGCGTGGGTTGAACTTTAGGGTTTCGAAGTTTTAGGGTTAACCTCCATGACACGATGGTTTAGGGTTTGGAGATTTTAAGGGGTACTTCTATGGCACACAGCGCTCGCAGCGCGCGTTAGGGTTTAGGGTTTAGGGTTTGGAAATTTTAGGGTTTACCTCTATGACACGAGAGTTTCAGGTTTGAAGATTTTAGGGTTTATTTCTATTGCACAAAGCGCGCGCAGCGCGCATTAGTGTTTAGGGTTTGAAGGTTTTTGGGTTTATCTCTGGCACGCAGCGCGCACAGCACGCATTAGGGCTTAGGGTTTGGAAGTTTTAGGGTTTATTTTATTGCATGCAGCGCGCACACCGCGGGTTAAACTTTAGGGTTTGGAAGTTGCATAACACGATGGTTTAGGGTTTGGAAATTTTAGGGTTTACTTCTCTGGGACACAGCGCGCGCACCGCGCATTAGGGTTTAGGGTTTGGAAGTTTTAGGGTTTACTTTATTGCATGCAGCGCGCGCAGCGCGCATAGAGTTTAGGGTTTGGAAGTTTTAGGGTTTCAAGGGTTCCAAGGTTCCAGGGTACCAGGGTCCCACGGTTTCAGGGTTCCAAGGTTTCCAGGGTTCCAAGGGTTCCAAGGGTTCCAGGGTTTCAGGGTTCCAGGATCCCAGCAGGGTGCCAGGTGTGCAGGGTTGCAGGGTTCCAAGGTTCCAGGGTTCCAAGGTAGCAGGGTTCCAGAATCCTTGAGGGTTCCTGGGTGCCAAGGTTCCAAGGTTTCAGGGTTCCACGGTCGCAGGGTTCCAAGGTTCCAGGGTTTCAGGGTTCCAGGGTTCCGGGGTTCCAGGGTTCCGGGGTTCCAAGGTTTCAGGGTTCCAGGGTTCCAGGGTACCAGGGTCCCACGGTTTCAGGGTTCCAAGGTTTCCAGGGTTCCAAGGGTTCCAAGGGTTCCACAAGGTTCCACAGGGTTCCAAGGTTCCAGGGTTCCAAGGTTCCAAGGTTGCAGGGTTCCAGAATCCTTGAGGGTTCCATGGGTGCCAAGGTTCCAAGGTTTCAGGGTTCCACGGTCGCAGGGTTCCAAGGTTCCAGGGTTTCAGGGTTCCAGGGTTCCGGGGTTCCAGGGTTCCAGGGTTCCAGGTCCAAGGTTTCAGGGTTCCAGGGTTCCAGGGTTCCGGGGTTCCAAGGTTTCAGGGTTCCAGGGTTCCAGGGTTCCAGGGTTCCAGGGTTCCAGGGTTCCATTCCGGATTTTGAAGGCTGCAAGTCCCCGCGAGCCAGCCCCAGCCCTAGAGATTGAAACCCAACAGGCCCTGCTGTTGGGAATTTGAAATCAGAACTTCGTTACTGGCGGTCATTCTCGAATAGCAACATCTTCTTCCTCCACATTCGTGAAACAACTTGACTTTGACCTGGCATCTTGTCTGCTTTGTCTAAGCTGTAATAAGCTGTACATACCACAGCTTGCTCGAGCACATCAACACGCCCACGGTTGCATGTGTATGCTGGTTTTGCAACAACAAATGCATTCAGAATGCAGTCTGGCCAGCCAAATCGTTTGCACACTATCGACCACTATAGTCTGAGGCCGGCACAGTTACATCTGAAACCCATGGCTTGACAGAGATGAGCACTACAAATTGCTGACAACTTTGGTCTGCTGAAAACCGGGTTGCAAAATGTTGCAAAGATCCAAGACTTCCGCTGTTTTTATTGTCCAAATGGTTGTGGCCGCTCCGCAACCATCCTTGTCAGCTTTGTCACTGTTTCTTCTCCACCTTCTCGGCAATCTTCAGCCGCGCTGAGTCCTGTGACACCTCAAGTACAGCTTTCACCACGATGTCTTACATCACAAGCTTCATCGCACTCCCATCCGGCAAACAATTTTTGGTATGAGAGCTGCCCTTGCAGCGCATGTGGCTGTACACCTAGAAGTATTTTGAGAATCTTTGACACAGTTTTTTTTCTCTGACGAACTCAATTTGCATTGCCAGGACATCCTTGCTTTGAAGGCAGTGCCAACAAGCGACGCTTCTTCGTTCGCTTGTTCTTGAGCTCAAAAGTTGTGCCACACAGTACAGAAACCTACGGATACTTTAAAGTAAAGGATGCCTAAGCAAGACAGCTGGGGGCAGCGTCTCTGCTCATTCCAACTCAATGGCGGATTCAAGATGATAATCCCTCCTCGATGTGGAGAACCAATTGAACCTGACCAAGCTGAGTGAACGAAACATTCAATAGGATTCAATAGGCAGGATGTATAGTTACTAAAGTTTCTCAGTGCTGCAGACTCTGAATGGGCATCATGCATTGGTTGCACACTGCCATACAAACAGTGCAGCCCTCTACGGTTGGGAATCTGAAGTAGCATACAGGGGGCCAGCTCCGCATCGCCACCAACGAGGCAAAGACCACCAGAATCACACTGCCGGCCTGCAGCAGGTCTTCAAAAAAAAACGAAAGATTCGTCGAAATTTGCCTTTTGAAACAACATGAAACAACCAAATCTTTTCGAGTCTGTGCACCGGCTTCCCGGAGATAAAAATCTGAGTGCCTGACCACAGCTGCAATGAGCCAACCACGAGAGACAGGTTGATGGTTGGCAGCAACGAGATCCCGAGCAGTGCTTCCATTGCCTTAAAACCGGTCGTCTCAAAGCTTCACCCATCTGGCGCCGGAATCGTCTTGATATAAATGCTTGATATAGTTTGACAATGGTTTGATACTGCCAAAGATGGCACTTTCCCCATTGAGTCTCCAGCCTGGCGCAAAAATGCCCACTTGAGCCGATGGTTCTCCACCATGTTGTCGGATGAAAGCTGCTAAAGCCTTCACTCCCGCCTCGATTCGGGACAATTCGAGACACGTGACCATTCTGGATCTCTGGGACGAACCAAAAAGTGTCTCAGCTAGACGAACTGGAATCCACACAAATCTGCTGCACATAGCTGCACATAGCTGCGCAAAGTATCCTAGAGTTGGCATCATAAAGCCGCAGTCATGCCACGAATTGCTCTTTGCCAACGTTCTGGATTTGGGTGGCTGGCAAGCAAAAGCTGTGACCTTCAAGTTCAATGGTCATAGTAGCTCGGATTCCTCGGCTCGGATGCTGAGCAGCTGCCAGTTGACTGAAACACCTAGCATCACCTAGCACCACCTATAGCATCCCTATAGCAGCTATAGCATCCCCTAGCAGCCGCTGGGTCAGACCAGCTAGGTCCGAAAATTTATTTATAAATATCACAATATCGTAAATTTATTTAAATGTGGCCAAGAAGCCTAGAAGCCCGTATGCCCAGTCAGGGCCAGTGCCAGGATCAGGAGGGAACACATCTGCTCCTGCACTGATCGACGTGGGATCATAATGATGAGGACGTCTCTTTCAAACGTGTGCGGAAAAGTGGGGTTCCAATTCTTTACCTTGCACTGGCTCCAAAGCTTAGAAAGGGACCCGGACCTTGAATAGAGAATTCCAATACAAACGAAAAAATAAAATGAAGTCGACAAACCAATGGTCAAGAGTCAAAAGTCCATTTATGGATTGCCCTCTACGTGCCATTTCAGGGTTCCCTTGTGGCAATGAGCAAAGAACAGTAAGGGCTCTTGCGCCTGCATTGAACGTGCGCCCCGATGTGTTGTAGAATGCTTCGTTGATAAAGCTCGTCAAAGACGTCTGGTATGAGCCATCAGGATCTGCCGGGGTCTCTGCAGTATACGCCCATGGTGGTAGCATTGCCTCAATGCTGCAAGACGGCAGGTTGCCGGAACTTAGGGAAAAACGTCACTGCTGACATGGGCACATCATGGGCACATCAAGGGCACAAGGGCAGAAAGGATGCTAAAGTGATCAGCCACACCTCGGCGTAGGAATGATAGTCAATGAAGGCGGCTACATAACCGGCTCCAGCTTTCGAGTTGGACCGCCAGTTCTGCTGTTTTTCCTTCATGTACTCTGAAGCCGCCTATCGCACGAAGCACAGAATATTTGCAAATGGTTTTGCAAATTGTCAGGTGCTCACGTGAACGGTGCTTCAGCTGCCCACCTTGGTCTCCGGTTCCGAGAATGCCTCAGGGCCTATAAAGACTTCTGAACATGGATTGTGCAATTCCAATTCCTCAGCGGCAGGCCGCGGATGCAATTAGACGAATTAGATCTATGAAGGGTATATATGTATATATGTGTATAAAAATATCATTCTATATAATTATTATACATATATGATGTGTATCATTTATATATATATACTTTGTCTATATAATTATCGAAGGAAGTTTAGAAGTCAAACTTCCGACAATATGAACAGATGAAAAAGCAGAGGTGCGAAGAGCCAGACGGGAGCAGAGTCAGAGGGGAGAAAAGTCGGAAGAGAAAAGATCAGAAGAAAGAAGATGCAGGTGTGCGAAAAGGTAAAGTCGCGAAGCACTGTGTTTTTTCGATGGTTTGTGGCTCCGGAGGGTCGAAAAGTAGGCTCGCTAAAGCGGCGGGGGCGGAGACATCTGGGGAGATGAGAAATGAAAAGTTGCACGCCGTTGTGAAGGCACAAAACACCTGGGTCTCGGAGCACTTTTGGCGCGAAGCACATTTCGAAGTCAAAATGACCAAAACACACCATTCTTGTGGAAGTTGCGATGTCGAAAAAGTGC